TCTTCCTACAGCTGCCTCTTGGAGATATATGTTGTATCAAGTTAGAGTATGAGACTCTTATTTCAAGCTTCAGTATTGGTGCCGTGTGTGTGTGTGTGTGTGTGTGTGTGTGTGTGTCCCCTTTTTTACTCAAGGCTGGCACTCCTATCACTTGAGCCACACCTCCACTTCTGGCCTTTTTCTGGTTAATTGGAGAGCAGAGTCTCCTGCACTTTTTGTCCAGTTGGCTGTGAACCACAATCCTCAGATCTTAGCTTCCTGAGTAGCTAGGATTACAGGCATGAATCACCAGCACCCAGCTGGACTTCCAAGTTTTGTGTCCCCTCACCATTTCCTTCCTCGGTTTCTCTGCCCACTAGTCTAATCTAGTGGGATGCCTAGAGGACTTGGTGGCAGCAGATTCGCAGCAGTGTGTTGAGAAGCATATAGTTACCAGGAAAACACCTCATTTCACTTATGGAGTAGTTCTAGTTTCAGTTCTCTGGGGTTCCCCATGTCCAGGGCCTGAGGACAGGGATGGGGCTTCCATGTTGGAAGATGGGTCCAGCCATAGGAAGCTTGATGGGAGGGAGTTCTGAGAAAAGAAAACTTTACTCAAGTCACCAGCAGACTTTCTGTATTTTGCTTAAAGTCAGCAACCTCTGCTGCTGGCCTTCCCACAGCCCTTTTCCCAGGGATGTTTCAGATTTCTCTCTGCCTGATTCTCAGAAGCTATGCCTTTTTTACTTTATTTTTTTTTTTCTTTCAAGCTATGCCATTTTTATCTTTATTCCTAAGTAAGATTTATCATGATCTACTGGGACGAATAGAAATAGTTCCAAACAGGGATTTTTGGTAGTTCCTATTTTTGTGTGTTGGGTTTTCCCCAGGCCTGGTCCAAGAAGACTGGCAGAGTAAATGGTAAGCCCCAGAGCAGGGCTTGTAGCTTTAAAGGAAACTCCAGCTCTATCAGCGTTTCCCTTCCCTTACAGTGGAAGGAAATGGGGAGGGGCTAAGTGGGCTAGTGGTTCAGAGCAGGAAGGGAAAGAAAACTGTGCAGAGCTACCTCCTCCTCTCTTTACTGCAGTCAACAGGGGTCTGGGGAGAAATCCACTTATCAGGCAGTCTGCCTGGCCCAACTCATGAGCCAGAGCAGCCTTGCTGGAAGAGCATCATGTCCATGCCTTTTACCTCCCTCCATTGTAAGTCTTCAATCTGAGATTTCTTGTGGGTTCTGAGTTAGAAGCCAGTTTCACAGTTTGAGTTCATCTTTTTTTCTTCCATTTCCTTTTCTGACTGTGTCTATAACTCGTCTCCTTTTCTCCCTCCCAAGTATGGGTTGTGTGTGTGTGGGGGGGGGTGATGGTGGATCCATAACCCCAAGGATGTAGTATTTCAGTTGTCTCTTAGTCTCAGAGGAAACCAGAGATCAAAGCAGGGGTAAAGGACTGCTTTGTATTCAGTATTGAGAAGCAACTGCTAAAGGAGATCAGAATCAGACATAGACAACCCCAAAGCAAGAGAGCAGACACTACACAGGCTTTTCAGGAGGAAGAAGGGAGCTGTGAAAATACCCAGTGTTCCAGATACATACAGACATAAACTGTTTATCATTTGATCCTCATAAAACCCTGTGAAGTAGTGAGATTATCTCCAATTTATGGGTGAGTTCACCAAAGTTAGATAGCTCTGAATAACCTAAAATTAATCATGGGCCCTCTGGCTCCACGTTCAGTGCCCTGGACCTCTGCCTTTTTTCTGTTCAAGGGTTGCACTGAGGAGTTAGTAAGAGCTTAGCTTCTATCTCTGTGGAACCACTGAAGGAAAATACCAGAGTAACAACCTTTGGCTGAGACCGGAACTGTGTCAGTTTTGCTCCCTGGCTGCCTCCAGAACTCAGGAAGTTGTCCTTCCTAAGGCTAGAGCAGCTTCCTCTGGACATTGGAGTTCTACCAGATTCATTCACATCATCAGGTAGAGGCAGGAGCCTTAACAATCTTGTCTGACAGGAAGAGAACTGTCCTGGTCCTGCTGCCTTGGCTGACAGCTCTCACTGTTGTCCTACTTCTTGTGAGACTGCTGGAGACTGAGGGTTTCCCCTTAAGCCATCTCCTTTCTAACACCCTGCAGTGTGACAAAACAGAGAGTCCTACCTGAGGATCTACCTCTAGGATGTAGGCCAATAGTCAGGGCTGCTTTGTGCTTTGTACTCCATAGGTCCATCTTCTCTGAGGATCCAAGGTTTGACTAGGTCTCTGATAGGTCTCTTTCATGCTCCTAGGTTAGGGTTCTAAAGAGGGTGACTGCTTAGTCCTGAAGCTGGGAGACAACCACTCATTTTCTCAAGTTCACCTGGGTGAGGAGGTGAGAAACCTCAGCAGTGACAGTGGTTAGCCAGGGAGAAAGTTGGTATAGACAGGATGTGAAGTTTGCCACAGTAACAACAAACCACCCCCTCCTCTGAGTAGCTCTCTTCTAGAGGAGACAACAGCAAACTGTTTTCATGGCACAGATATGGAAGAAACAACCAAAGACAGCATTTTACTCAGGTTGTACAAAGCCAAGACTGGTACTGGAGACTGTTTCTAGGTTCAGTTGGCAGCATCTCACCCCTAGTTAGAGTATAGACTGCTCTGTGCCTGCCCCCGGCTTTAGAGTCCCTGTTTCTTTAAGACCTCCTGCTCTTATTCTGCTGTCCTCACAGACATGTTACAACTGACCCTTAGAAAAGCAGAAAGGAAGGGCTGGGAAGGTGGCTCAGTGGTAGAGCGCTTGCCTTGCATGCATGAGGCCCTGGGTTCCATTCCTCAGCACCATATAAGCAAAAAGAAAAAAGCTGGAAGTGGCGCTGTGGCTCAAGTGGTAGAGCGCTAGCCTTGAGCTGAAGAGCTGAGGGACAGCGTTCAGGCCCCACTACCGGACCAAAAAAAAAAAAAAGCAGAAAGGACATTCTGGCCTGTATTTGCCCATCCCTACTATCAGTATGATACTAGCCGGGGAAGGACTGGGCCAGCTTCTCACTCTTAAGGTTGAGGTGAGCATATAGCTGGTTTAGTAGTATATGTAGTCTGTTAGCTTATGTGACACTGTATTTAAAGATTTCTTCTCAATCCCTTAGGCAATGGAGGAACCCCTCCTAGTATTCTTCCTTAGGGATCCTGGGTATACACAGTTTGCTCCCTGGGGAGCAAGTGGTCATGCTTGGGTTGCCAGGGAGTGAGAGTTGCACTCAGAGCAGTAGGGAGAGAGAAGGGGAAGTTCCCCAGGAAGAGACTGGCTCTGTGGGAAGTCCTGAGCATTGTCAGGCAGTTGTGGCACTTTGGGTGGGGAACACATTTCATTTAGGAGTGTAGGTGTGCAGATGGGGGGATCTGACAAAAATCCCAGACTGTTTAGTGGTAAAGATCTGTGAACAAAGCCAGGTGCCAGTGGCTCACGCCTATAATCCTAGCTATTCAGGAGGCTGACATCTGAGGATCATGGTTCAAAACCAGCCGAGGCAGGAAAGTCCGTAAGACTTATCTCCAGTAAACCACCAGAAAACCAGAAGTGGTGTTGTGGCTCAAATGGTAGAGCGCCAGACTTGAGCTGAGGGGATGTTATCTCCGAACACTGCGCCATACATATGGGTTCCTTAGGCTTCCCTCATTCACAGTGTTATCTGTCCATTCAGCAATCAATAATGAACAAAATAATATGATTCCTGGGCTATTCTTCAGTTTTCTACATTGGAATATCTGGGTGAGGAGTCAGGACACTGTTGTGTCTAGGTTAATTGGGAAAAGTGTCATATGTAATTTGATACTAATAAAGTCCTAAACTTTCATAAACATTTTTTTAAGTATTTGAACAGCTTTATCATGCTCTTTACAAATATCCTTCTCATTACTTTCATCTGACTTGTGCAAGAGAGAGAGAGACAGCACTTAAATAGGTGGTGGCTAGTCACAGCTCACTCATGCAAGCGTATGGTGCAGTAATGTCACCTGTTTCAGACAGTGGTGGAAAAGTATATTGCAAATCGCTTCTTTGAACTGGTGGCTCTCAAAGTTTTGAACTGTCTAATGTTAAAAAGTACATTTTACAGGGCTGGGAAGGTGGCTTAGTGGTAGAGCGCTTGCCTTGCATGCATGAGGCCCTGGGTTCCATTCCTCAGCACCACATAAGCAAAAAGAAAAAAGCCGGAAGTGGCGCTGTGGCTCAAGTGGTAGAGCGCTAGCCTTGAGCTGAAGAACTGAGGGACAGTGCCCAGGCCCAGATTTCAGGCCCCACAACCAGACCCAAAAAATAAAAAATAAAAATAAAAAAAATAAAATGGAAATGAACAGATTTAAATATGGTAGACTATACCAGAATTTACTGCAAGTAAATTATATAAATGTCTCAAGATTCAATTTCTTTTAATTCCACACACACACACACACACACACACACACACACACACACACACACACACACACACACACACACACACACACACACACACACACACACACACACATACATGTCTGTAAAATGTACTTTTGGTCAGGTCGTGGGGCCTGAACTCTGGGCCTGGCCGTTGTCCCTCAGCTCTTCAGCTCAAGGCTAGCGCTCTACCACTTGAGCCACAGCCCCACTTCTGGCTTTTTTCTTTTTGCTTATGTGGTGCTGAGGAATGGAACCCAGGGCCTCATGCATGCAAGGCAAGCGCTCTACCTCTGAGCTACCTTCCCAGCCCTCATTTCCATTTTAAAAAGGTTAATTTTTCTTCATTACCGTCTATTTTATGACCTGTGGTTTTAGAAGACATTGTTCAACCAAATCCAACTAATACAATAGGAAGACAGGAGAGTGACATCACCTTTTTAGTCTGTGTGAGCAGCAGCAGAGTCAAGGTGAAGTCCGATAGCCTAGGAAGGAAAGACAGGTCATTTTAGCCTTTCTGTCCTTCAGAGAGAGAGAGAGAGAGAGAGAGAGAGAGTGTATTGCATGCACACGCATATAGGCAGGGGTTCAGTCTGTTCATTTATATTCTTCAGAGCTCTATGAACCTGCCTCCTGACAAGGCCCGGCTCCTGCGGCAGTATGACAATGAGAAGAAGTGGGATCTGATCTGTGATCAGGTATGTGCTTGGGAAAAGCAGGGAGGTGGGGAATAGTGTTGGACTATACAAGGCAGGAAAGTCAAAGGCATCAACTGTAGCCCTGGCAGGAACCCCAGCCTAGTTAAGGGGACTCATGACAGAGACAGAACTGTTAGACCAAGGTCCAAAAATGCTATTTTGGTAGTTTCCAGTGGGCAGTGGGTGCTGAAGTGGTTTGTGTGAGGCTGCCTATGGAAGAGGCAGGTAGTTTTCCCAGCAGAGCCTGCTTCTGCCTTTCCATAGGACTGGGACTCAAGGACTTGGCCTTTATCTCTCACTTTACTCCAGGTAAATAGCATGGTGCTTCTCATTATCTGCAGACTTCTAGGAATGAAAAACCTGTCGTCTAGTCTCCTCTTCCCAAATTTTGGAATAGTAAAGAAATCTGGCTTTCCTTATAGTGTCTAGAGCTAGATGAGAAGAGAGAGTATTACTTCGCTTAGAACCAAGGGGTTTTTTGTTGTTGTTTGTTTTTGTTCTTATTCCTGCTGTTGTTGGATACTGTCCCTGAGCTTTTGTTTGTTTGTTTGCTTAAGGCTAGCACTCTTCCACTTGAGCCACAGCTCTACTTTTGGCTTTTTGGTGGTTAATTAGTAATGAGTCTTACAGACTTGTCCCACCTGTCCCGGCTTGCTTCAAGCCGTGATCCCCAGATCTCAGCCTCCTGAGTAGCTAGGATTACAGGTGTGAGTAACCAGCACCTGGCTAGAGCCAAGATCTTTTAATACCTGGTTCTTTACCTGCCTATATTTCAGGGTCATGAGTGGGTCATGAACTTTTGAATTTAGATGGGTCTATCTTCCAGGCTTTAGCTTCCTCTTTCATATTTCTTTGTAGGTATGGATAGACCCTGCCCAGTGCTAGTGTTTTCCTAGCACTCTTTTTTTTTTTTTTTTTGGTCAGTTGTAGGGTCTGAACTCTGTGCCTGGGTGTTGTCCCTCAGCTCTTCAGCTCAAGGATAGCACTCTACCACTTGAGTCACAGCACCCCTTCCAGCTTTTTCTGCTTATGTGGTGCTGAGGAATTGAAGCGAGGGCCTCATGTATGAGAGGCAAGCACTCTACCACTGGCCATCTTCCCAGCCCTACCTAGCACTTTTTCCATAGCCCTTGTCATGAAAAAAGATCTATTTCTTTTCAAGCTCTTAATAAAATAACAGCTAGCATTTATTGAATGCTGGTTATGTATCAAGGACTCTACACATACTAATTCAGTCCTCATAAAAATCCTCTGAGGAAGGAACTTGCATTTGAAGAGGCACATAGTTCATGAACCTGCCTATTGCTGGTAAGTGGATAGAGCCAGATTGGGCTTAGGCAAGCTGGTGCCAGGTCTGTGCCAACTGTGCCCTTTACCATCTGATTCAGAGGCCCTAATCCAAGCTTCTTTTTCCTCATGGAGACCCATCCCCTTGGGCTCTGCATTAAGAAGAGTTGGTTGGCACCTGCTTGGGGTTTGACAAGCAGTAGCTCTTTGGTACTGAGACTCTTCAATAATATCACAGTCTTTTCGAGGTCACATAAGCATTCTCAAACTTTGTGTTTTCCTTTAATTTGTTTCCAGGTCCTGTTTCCTAACATTGTGTTGTTTTGTAGCCCCATTCTTGGGGCTTCTCTGTCATCCTCAAGATTTTAGATTTTTTTTGTCAGTGGAGTTTTCCACATTTCTTCTTGGGCCAAATGAGGGAGTTGAGCCAAAATAGAGAGGGTATTTTCCCCTGTGCCCCATGAGAAGGGGATTGGGAGGTGACCTGGCTTAAAGCAGCAGGATTTTGCCTTGCGTTGTTGGGACTTGAGGCTTGACTGTAGCCCTGAGCTGTGTTAACACTCTTAGCCAGTTTAGTTCCATTTACAGGGTTTGGAGTTATAAAAGCTGGATTCTGCAAGGCCAGGATCCCCTTCCCTTGGTCTTCCTAAAACCAGAGAACAGCATTCTCCAGTAATATCTTTGTTTTTGGTACTGGTCATAGTGCTATAATCCCTGCATTTTAGTAACCAGCATACTTAATTACATAGAAAAACATTTTAGTTCCAGAGATCACTCATTGGAGAAGAAGATTATAAAAGATGAGAAATGCCTGGGGATAAGTTATAGAAACCTAGGATTTGGGTGATACTAAGGGCCACATGATAGCTGGGAGGCGAAGCCCCCTTACACTGAACAGTCTTTCCTTGGTGTCTTCCTTAGGCTCTGTGTTTCTGTATGTACATTTGTACATGTATACATGTTTCCTTTATAGGAACGGTTCCAGGTGAAGAATCCTCCCCACACTTATATCCAGAAACTCCAGAGCTTCTTGGACCCCAGTGTAACTCGGAAGGTGAAGTATGAGACAGCTAGTTCTCCTGTTGCTGCCTATATTGGTCCTGTGGTATCTGGGCACAAACCCTTTGACTTGGGACATCTGCTTTTGAGCAAATAAGAGTTGGATTTCTGGGTTCTGAGGCCAGGGATTTGGAGTGGCTTTCCAGGCTGGAGGTCTCTTTACCCTTCCATTCTTTTTCTGAACCCTTGGTTTATACTGTAAAGTTGGATAGCCAGGCATGGTGGTACATGCTTGTAATTTTAGATCTTGGGAGGATGAGGCAGGAGAATTTCAAGTTCGGTGCCAGCCTGGGCTACATAGTAGCAAGACTATCTCTAAAAGAGAAAGTTGGAGGGGGTCTCTATCAGTGACAGATGATTCTATGTTCACAGAAGTTCAGGAGGAGAGTACAGGAGTCAACCAAAGTTCTGCGGGAGCTAGAGATCTCTCTTCGCACCAATCACATTGGGTGAGTTAAATCTGGCCATCCCAGACTCTCCATTTGGTCCAGGTTTGCTGCTACATAGGACCTGGTGTCCTTTGAGGATGATTTGCTGTTTAGCCTTCCTGTCATAGAGTTTCCCCTGGAATGGATCCTGGCTCCCCAGGGCTTTAGACTGTGCCTTTCCTGGCTCTCACCCGCCACGCCCCCCCCCCCTCCCCCGTCTAGTTCTGCCAGCTGCTGACTGGATCCTTCTGGCAAGCTTGGGGCCTCTCCTGAGGGCCTCATCCTGTGGCTTTGGGTAGAAGACATTCCCATAGCAGCTGAGACTAGAGTCTGTTTGTGGCCTGGTACTGAGCCAAGCGAGGCCCAGAGAAGGCTGGGGGTGGGAGGTTACTGAGAGCTACTTCCTATGTGATGACCACTTGGGCTTTTTGGTGTCCACTTTATTTACTTTTTTTTTTTTTCCTCAGAGCTAGTGCCACAGCACCACTTCCAGTTTTCTATTGGTTAATTGGAAGTAAGAGTCTCATGGACGTTTTCTTGCCTGGGCTGGCTTCCAACTGCGATTATCTCAGCCTCCTGCGTAGCTAGGATTGATTATAGGTGTGAGCCACTGGCACCTGGCTACTTTAAAAAAAATTTTTTTTTGTGCTGCTCCTCCCTGGGCCTTGAACTCAGGGCCAATTGTTCTCACTTGGCTTCCTTTGGTCAGTGCTGACATTCTACCAGTTGAGCCACACAGCTGTACTTCTCGCTTTTTGGTGATTAATTGGAGATGAGAGTTTCACAAATTTTCCTGCCAAGTCTGACTTTGAATCATGATCTTCAGATCTCAACCTCCCGAATAGCTAGGATTAGTCATGAGCTACCAACACTTACTTTCTTAATAGGAAACAATTTTAGTTCCTAAGCAGAAGCTTCCTGAAACACCAGAAAATATGTAAGACAGGAGCTGAACGTTTCCTGTATGTACAGATCTTGATGCTACCAAGTGATTGACAGAGCTCCCTGGATCTATGAGTCTTCTTTCTAGTCTGAGTGGGGAGCCAGGTGTTACTGAGGAGGCAGAAGGCCAGTTAGGACCAAGGAAAGAGGGCAATGCCTTGGTTCTGTGAAACTAACCAGCAAAGATATATAAGGTGTGAGAGAGAGAGAGAGAAACAGATTGGCAGACAAAGGGAGAAGCAGAGAGTAAGAGAGGAGGAAAGAGGAGAATGTGTGAAGACATGCAGAAAGCACAGGGACACCTGATGTGTAGGACTGAAGGTCTACTGTCAGGAGTTCTGACTTGTCATTCACTGAGAAGTACCTGACATGATAAGTGCCTCAGTGAATGAGAAGTAGAGCCAGGGGGAAGGGTGGGGTTACTGGGTAGATGCCAGTCCCAGGTCCCTAAGCTTCCTGAGAGTAGAATGGGAAAAGCCAAATGACACAATTAGCCTTTCCTCTCTTGTCACAGTAGTGGCCTGCTTGCCTACCCGCACGCGGAGCCTGCTTGGACTCTTTACAGGGAAAGCCATCTTGGTGTAGTCAGCTGCTGCAGTCACAAAGGAAACAGTGCAGGAGAGGGCAGGAAAGGGACAGTTCCTGGCCTCAGAAGGTATGTTGTGGTGGCCAGGACGTGGCTTCTACACTCATCTGACCAGTAATGGAAAGCTAAGCCAATGGGAAAGGTGTGGCCAAGGTTCCACACTTGGTGAATCTTTCACAGAAAGAAACTTGGCTCCTCAGTTTGCCTCAAGAGTGAGGGCAAGAGTGACACCCACTACAGTCCTGCGTACCCTTGCTACTCCACAGGGCCTCCCTCTCAGGTCCTGCTGTCTTCCTTAAGTCCTCCTGTAGTTGGAAGTGATGATGGGGGTCTTGGTAGACAGAGGACCACGGCAGTGTGTAACAGTCTTTTCTCCCTTCTCACTCTACAGAGTTGCTGCCTCCCTGGCTTTTGTCTTAGATTTAGGCCCAGACTAACATGGGTCCCAGGCATCAGGGCCCCTTGGCAGTTGACACACAGAGATCTAGACTTTGTCCTTGATTCCCAGGGAATACTTAGTACTGGCGTTTTAGGAGTCTATGCCATCTGACGTAAGACTTTCCTGGGTAGTTATTGGGATAGCTAGGATCCGTGTGTGTGTGTGTGTGTGTGTGTGTGTGTGTGTGTGTGTGTGTGTTGTAAGCTGGAAGGAGGAGATCAGGTCAAGTGTGTGTGTGTGTGTGTGTGTGTGTGTGTGTGTGTGTGTGTGTGTGTGTGTTGTAAGCTGGAAGGAGATCAGGTCAAGGTGAAGAAGAGTAGGTACTCCTTCCTTGCTCATGGCCTGGTTGGTAGGGGTCTGCAGAACCACTTACGAAAGTATGGAGTGAGGCCTGCTAGGAAGTAAGGATTCCAGATCCCCTGCAACTCCTCCTCCCTCCCTGGTTTGTATTGGTTTCTCTGCCTTGCCTAAGTGACCTTTACCCTTTCCTCAAAGTGTCAAGATCCCGAAAATAGCAGTGTAGACTCAGACAGGAAATGAGAAGGGGGTGGGGAGCTGGAGAGCAGACAGACAGGAAACGGGAGGCCTGTAGGCCTCCAGAGAGGAAGCTAACTTCAGGCAGCTCCGGTGTCAGTCAGCTTTCAGCCAGAGGCTGCTGCCAAATCTCAGCCTGGCCTGGTGTTCCAGCCCCAGCCTCTCTCCTGCTTGGGGTGTGTCTAGCCAACATGGTGCTGGTGCTTCAGTTGTGTTTGAAAAGTGGCTTTGTAGAGCAGTTTGGGTATAGCTGGCTTATACAGAATAGAGAACTCAGGAGAGTAAGGATTTTTTTTTTTATCCTGAGGGTTTATGTCTTTGTGGAATGAGCTTGTAATATAACATTCCTTCTGGAATTTGCTCTTGCCTTTTGTCCTAAAAGGAGTGAAGGCAGTAGGCAAAAATGCTCTAGGACATTATCCTTCACATTTCCTGTTTTCTTTTTTTTTTTTTTTTGTCGGTCGTGGGGCTTGAACTCTGGGCCTGGGCGCTATCCCTCAGCTCTTCAGCTCAAAGCGAGCGCTCTACCACTTGAGCTACGGCGCCACTTCCGGTTTTCTGGTGGTTTATTGGAGATAGGAGTCTCACGGACTTTCCTGCCCGGGCTGGCTTTGAACCGTGATCCTCAGATCTCAGCCTCCTGAGTAGCTAGGATTACAGGCATGAGCCACCAGTGCCCGGCTATTTCCTGTTTTCTATATACCTGCCTTCCATCGTCATCTGAACCCAAAGGGTCATGGTATTCTGGAGTTCTTTGAGTTCCTGGTCATCCCCAGCCTTTTCTGCTCACCAGACTTACTGTGACTACATATATAACTCATGTCCCACTTTGCTCACTGCTTCCTCAAACTGCTTTCCTTGAAATCTGTGGAGAGCCCTTTCACTCAGTAACCCCGTTTCAGAGCTCTCTTTGCCCCTCTGCCAGTATCTTGACTGAAACTTGAGTCAACCTGGGAACTTGCTCTCTCTGTCAAAGCATTGCTCTGAACACAGAGGTAAATACTCCTTAACTTTTTTTTTTTTTTTTTTTTTTTGGGGGGGGTCCGGTTATGGGGCCTGAACTCTGGGCCTGGGCGCTGTCCCTCAGCTCTTCAGCTCAAGGCTAGCGCTCTACCACTTGAGCCACAACGCCACTTCCGGGTTTTTTCTTTTTGCTTATATGGTGCTGAGGAATCAAACCCAGGGCCTCATGCATGCAAGGCATGCGCTCTACCACTGAGCCACCTTCCCAGCCCACTCCTTAACTTCTTTAAAAAATTATTTTTTTGTTTGTATTAATTATACAGAGAGAGTGAAGGCTTACATTGTGTTTTGTTTATTTGCCGGTCCTGAGGCTTGAACTCAGGGCCTTGGGTACTGTTCTGAGCTTCTTTTGTTTAAGACTAGTGCTCTATCACTTGAGCTACAGTGCCACTTCTTTTTCTGAGTGGTTAATTGGAAATAAGAGTTTCAAAAACTTTTCTGCCCTGGCTGGCTTCAAAAGAACAATCCTCAGATCTCAGCCTCCTGAGTAGCTAGGATTACAGGTCTGATCCACCAGCACCCAACTAATTGTGGTATTTTTAAAAATAATATATATGCTGTACTTTGGATTTACCCCCTCTATTACTTTTATTCTCCCTTCCCCCTACTGCCCCACACCTGTATTTAGTTACATATTTTAACTTCCTTACAAATACCTCCCCAAGTCTTTGAACGAACATTGAGAATAACATTTTGCTAAGCCTGTACTATCTCTAAGGGATACAGAAAATGATTGCACCAGAGCCCTGGCCCATAAAGAAAGTGCTTGGAAGTGTGCTTGACTTGAAGCATGTTCACACGAAAGCAAGTGGTATTGTGCTTTTCTCCATCCCTAGCTCATAAGACATGACCATGAAGGGATATTGTAGGTTTTGGTTTTGAGGATTTTCCCAGCCAGGCTCCAGAGTGATCCAAAAAGGGTTCAGAGGCCCCCCTTAACCCACTTGAGCAGATCCCACTGCCATTGTGTTTCCTCTTATCTGCAGGTGGGTTCGGGAGTTTCTTAATGATGAAAACAAAGGCTTGGATGTGCTGGTGGATTATCTGTCCTTTGCTCAGTGTTCTGTCATGTGAGTACTGCCCCTGGGCTAAGGCTGGGGACCCCTGGGGATTACAGAGTCCCATTCTACTTAGAGGAAGAAGGATGGAATTCTAACAGGTGGGAATGGGCATCCCGGACAGGAGGAAGTAGCCAAGGTTATGGCGTGGAAGGGAACAGGCAAGCCAAGGCACGTATGAAGAGCAGTGAAGTGTGTTTTGTAGTATAGGAAGATTATAATCAAATGATCAAATGCCAGTCTGCAAACAATCCAAGGAAATGTCTGGGATTCCCTGGTGAGCTCCATCATCTCTAGAATTGAATCTTTCTGAAGCTGTTCTGGTTCCCCAGATGAGATGCTTATTTCAGACTACTGTTGAAGAATCTAGGAGCAAGGGCATGACCTTTGACCTGGACAGACAGATAAAGTATATATGGGAACCTTTTTTAGGCAGTCTTTTAGCTTTGAGGCAGCCAGAATGAGTTAGCACAGGAAAGACAGCACAGAGTCGTGCAAAGAATAAGGCATCTTTTGAGTCAAGTGAAGCTGGCATTGATTCTCAATTGTATCTTGTACTCTGTATGGTCTCACTCAAGCATGTTTATCTTCTTCAAAGAAAGGATTGTAAGATTAAATGGAAATGTGTGTAGAGCACTAGTATTATTTGGAACATTCTATGTCTACACTGTAGTATCTGCTTTACTGTTAATTGTATTCCTACTCAGGGTAGCATGCCCTACCACAAATTACCTGATTATCTGGAAAGAAGAGGGCAGTGATAGTAAATGAAGTGGCAGATATATGCATACTTACATCCTAAACAAATCAGCTGTAGGGAGAGCAGTGTACCTGATTGCTCATTAGATTATATGTAGTCTTTTGTATAGTTCCCCAGTACTGAAAGCCTTTAGTCTTGAAAAACCCTAGTCTTGGGCCTTGGCCTTTGCCTAGACTTTTGTTTTCTATTGTCCCTGTCCCTAAGTCTGTTCTCCTTTATCTAGCAGGTCTCATTTCCTGTGAGGTACCTACTAGTGCCTCTCCCAGATTTGACCTTCCTATCACCTTACTCAGATCATCCTCTACTAAACCAGAGAGTGGCCTATACCTAATTCCTATCCCTTCAGAAAGCATACTTTGTGATCTTCCTATCCCTTTTTTTGTGTGTGTATGTGTTGGTTGAGAGGCTTGAATTTGGGGCCTAGGAGCTGTCCCTGAGCTCTTTTGCTCAAGACTAGCTCTCTACCACCTTGAGCCACAGCAACTTTAGTTTTCTGGTAGTTAATAGGAGATAAGAGTCTCATGGAGGGGCTGGGAAGTTGGCTCAGTGGTAGAGCGCTTGCCTTGCATGTCTGAGGCCCTGGGTTCGATTCCGGGGCACCACATAAGCAAAAAGAAAAAAGCCTGAAGTGGCACTATGGCTCAAGTGGTAGAGTGCTCACCTTGAGCTGAAGAGCTGAGGGACAGCACCCAGGCCCAGAGTTTAGCTCTCCTCCTCCCCCCACCCCACAAAAAAAACAAAAAGAGTCTCATGGACTTTCCTGCCTGGGCTGGCTTTGAACCATGATCCTCAGATCTCAGCCTCCTGAGTAGTTAGGATTATAGGCATGAGCCACCAGCACCTGGCCTTCCTATCTCTTTAAATAATTCTTTTTTTGGGGGGTGGGGAGTGGTACTGGAATTTGAACCTAGTACCTTGAGCTTGTTAACTAGGTGTTATACCACTTGAGCCACTCTTCCAGTCCCTACTCTTTGAATAGAAAGAAATGAAAAGCATGTGCTGAAATGACTTTTTTAAATTCAGAACTTTTTTTTTTGTCTGTTGTGGGGCTCGAACTCAGAGCCTGGGGTCTATCCCTGAGCTCTTTAGCTCAAGGCCAGCACTCTACCACTTCCTGTTTTCTGGTAGTTAATTGGAGATAAAAGTCTCACAGACTTTCCTGCCTGGGCTGGCTTTGAAAAAACCATAATCCTCAGTTCTCAGCCTCCTGAGTAGCTAAAATTACAGGCATGAGCCACCGGCATCTGGCTAAATTCAGAACTTTTATAGTAAAAAGATATAGATCATTTTTCCAAATAAACCTATCATACTTGAAAAGTAAACAAGTCCCAGCTGCTCTAAACCAAGAATACTCTAGACCCTTGGTGCTCTGGTGTCCAAGGAAGTGTCGCTGAATGTTTTAAAAGGAAAGACTCACTGGGAGCTTGTGGCTCACACCTGAAATCCCAGCTACTCAGGAGGCTAAGATCTGAGGATTGCTGTTCAAAGCTAGCCCAGGCAAGAAAGTCCGTAAGACTTTTACCTCCAATAAACCACCAGAAAAAGCCAGAAGTGGCTCTGTGGCTCAAGTGGTAGAATGCTAGTCTTGAGCAAAAGGAGCTCAGGGACAGCGTCTGGGCCCAGAGTTCAAGCTCCAGGACTGGCAAAAAAACCTCTGGGATAGGAGAGTGTGTTTTGGGAAAGCTTGAGAGAAAAGGGTGAGGCCATGTAGAGTTTAAGTGAAGGGAGGTATAAGTGCTCAGGAGTACCATGACTGATGGAGAGAAAGAGAGAAAAAAGCTACCAGCAAGCTGTCTCCCTGTCAGGGAGTTTCCTTTGATATCTACTAGAGAGCCCCCCACTAACCACTTCCTGATCACCAGGTATCAACACCTGCCTCTGCCTCCTTTGGCATATTCAGCATTTGTGGATATTGTTTACTGTCCCAGAAAGCCCCAGTCCATGCCTTGACTTGGAATATGTTTGCAGAGCAGGATGCCCTGTGGGGAGAAGAGCCTGTGGGAGATTCTCTCTAGTCCTTAGTGTCCTTCGGAGTAGTGGACAGGAAGGGTGAGTCAGTCTGTTCTTAGTGGGTGTGCCTTGATGGCAGTGTAAGAGACAGCCCTGTGGGTTTCTGGCCTTGGCCGTCTCTTTTCCCTGGACATACTCACAAAGGAGACAGGACCTCAGAAACAAGTGACAGAGAAGCCACCCCAACTCCTGCGGGTTTTCTGTCCCTAGTCACAATCTCAGCCTGCAATTTCTTCCCCCCCGGAAGCTGAAGCCAAGGAACTTCTATATTAGAAAAATATGGAAGTCTCTAGGGGCTGGGAAGGTGGCTCAGTGGTAGAGTACTTGCCTTGCATGCATGAGGCCCTGGATTCGATTCCTCAGCACCACATAAGCAAAAAGAAAAAAGCCGGAAGTGGCGCTGTGGCTCAAGTGGTAGAGCACTAGCCTTGAGCTGAAGAGCTGAGGGACAGCGCCCAGGGCCAGAGTTCAGGCCCCACAACTGGACCCCCCCCCCCAAAAAAAATATAGAAGTCTCAAATAGCCAGTTATAGAAAATTTAGCCCCTAAAAAACTCCATGCTGAGGCTTGAGGTGTAGCTCAGGTGGTAGAGTGGCTGCCTAGCATGCTAGCCTGCCTCACAGCCCTAGTTTCATTAACCCCTTACACTGCAAAATGAAAACACAAAGCCAGTGCTGGCATGGGACAGTGGTGCATTTCCTAAATATAAAGGGCTTGGGTGTTCTGGAACACCATCCTCTTCCTTCCATCTACCCAATCCAGAACAAACTAGGTGTCTCCCAAGGCACTGAGAGGCCCTTTAGTCACTGGCACTGACCAATGAGCAAGACCTGCAGTTGGGCCAGTCCCCACCACTTCCTCCTTAGGCTATATTTATATTCTCCATATGGAACCACAGCTTCTTGGAGATGTCCCTTCAGTAAGATGCTTGGAGTGCAGGGAGCCAGCTAGCCGCCATAATCCTTGGTCCATGGGGAGGCTACTCCTGGAATTTCTGGCTAGTTTGGAAGAGAAGCCGGATTCTAAGCATTCCCTGTTCTTAGATCCTCCTCCTGAAGCTGCCTCAGCCTCTCTGCTCTTGTCCTATGGTGGTGGGTCCTAACCAGAATGGAGTCTTTGCTGCCCAATTCTGCTTTCTTCTCTTGCTGCCCTTGCTTCTTGTTGCCCTAGAGGCCTGGAAAATGGGATGTGGGCCTGTCAAGGGCTTAGCATAAAATGTCTCTTGTGTATGTGCCTGTGTGTGCGCATGTGTGTCCTTTCATGCTCCAGGTTTGACTTTGAGGGTCTGGAGAGTGGTGATGATGGTGCATTTGATAAACTCCGGTCCTGGAGCAGGTCAATCGAGGACCTGCAGCCGCCCAGCATCCTGTCGGCCCCCTTCACCAACAGCCTCGCTCGCTCTGCGCGCCAGTCTGTGCTCCGGTATGTGTGTGCTCGCTCTGCCCGCCTGCCTCCCACCCCAGCCCCAGTCCAGGTCTCAGTAACTGCGGTGAGTGCTCATGCTCCTCCCTCCACTCTTGCTTCTAGGCTCAGCTCTCTTGCCCTCTGCCTGCCCGTCTGTCTCTGGTCTGTTCTCTCTGTCTCCCTGACTGCCCAGCGGTCTGTCCTGGGTAAGTACATCGTCCTTTGCTGTGCTGCCTCACCTGGGGCTCCAGCTCTCCCCCTCCTCCACTCCTCACTCTCAGCCATTTCTCCCCCAAACTCTCAGGCAGGGCTCAGGCTTTACTGGCTGATCCAGTTCCAGCTCTCATTGCTGTTACCTCTAACTCCCACTCTGCCCATCCAGTTCTCAGAGACCAGCTAGAACCTACCTGCCTGTTCCTCTCCTTCCCTGTTCTTCTTCCTCTGGCCTTTTTTCTCCAAAGCTGCTGTGCCTTCATTTGTCTATGGTGTTTTAAGAGCCATCTGCTAGTAGACTAGATGGCATCTCAGAGCCTCCCCCACCCATCCTCCACAGGAGGCTCTGGCTTGTTTCTCTTATGGCCCTATTTCTCTCCTTTGGATTTTATCCCTCAGAGTGCTCATCATTCTTGCCTTGAAGGAGCAGATCCATACTTGCTTCCTCTTTTTAAAATTTCTCTTCACAAACTCATCATTGAGGCTGCAAAGGGGTGGTACAAAGCCAGGTGTAGCCTCTTGGCTTCCCTTACACTTGTGGAGGTATGCCCTGCCTTTTGGAGACATAATAATGGGATGAGAGCCAAGATTTTCTACTCCATGAAAAGTGCAGTTTGGATAAATGTCTTTCTGGAAATATAGACTATAGGTCTACAGGACTACAAAGACGTCAGGTCTGTGTATTTCAAAAGGTCTCTGGAGTTAGCATGATTTAAACGCTGATGATAAAGTTTGAATCCTAGGAAGGTGTGAACAAAGGCCTCTTCCAGAGAGGTGAGCACAGGCTGACGGCCCTGCCTCCTGTGCTCTCATGGTTGTTGGCACACACTCCTTCTTGCCCATCTCGGCCGCTGCCAAGGGGCAGCCTGCTGTCTGGGTGATGAGGAGTGCTTTTGGATCCTTCAGCAGCCTCAACACCCACCTGACTGACTGGCCCTCTCCTCCAGATACAGCACTCTTCCTGGCCGCAGGGCCCTGAAGAACTCCCGCCTAGTGAGCCAAAAGGATGATGTTCACGTCTGTATCCTTTGTCTCAGAGCCATCATGAACTATCAGGTAAGAGACAGCACTAGCTACAGGTGCTCTACTTCTGCCTCATCTGTTGAATTAGGACAGCTAGCAGGGCACTGCTTTTATTTTATTTATTTTTTTTTTTGTGGGTCGTGGGGCTTGAACTCTGGGCCTGGGCGCTGTTCCTCAGCTCTTCAGCTCAAGGCGAGCGCTCTACCACTTGAGCTACAGCGCCACTTCCGGTTTTCTGGTGGTTTATTGGAGATAGGAGTCTCACGGTCTCTCCTGCCCGGGCTGGCTTTGAACCGCGATCCTCAGATCTCAGCCTCCTGAGTAGCTAGGATTACAGGCCTGAGCCACCAGCGCCCGGCTAGGGCACTGCTTTTAAAAGACAGGTTTGCCAGTAAGCTTGTGGCCAAGGAGATTGGCTAGGCTCTCCCTTTCTTACCAACAAGGTCCTCTCCTATCTCTTTGCTTACAGTATGGCTTCAATTTGGTCATGTCCCATCCCCACGCTGTCAATGAAATTGCGCTCAGCCTCAACAACAAGAATCCAAGGTGAGTTCCTTTCCTCCTCATTCTGCTCAGGGCTCCAAAGATCTCAGTTGCACTTACCCTGGACAAGTCCTGCCCGGATTTGTGGTCCTGTAGCCAGAGTCAGACCTTTGATTCTCCTTCCCCTCCATCTTGCTGGAAAAGTGTCCCTGGCTTCCTTCTGGTCTGCACAATTATTGAGGGAGCAAGTCTTCCTCTCACCCTTCCTTCCTTCCTTCCTTCCTTCCTTCCTTCCTTCCTTCCTTCCTTCCTTCCTTCCTTCCTTCCTTCCTTCCTTCCTTCCCTCCCTCCCTCCCTTTCTCTCGCTCTTTCTTTCTCTTGCTCTTTCTTTCTTTCTCTTGCTCTTCCTTCCTTCCTTCCTTTCTTTCTTTCTTTCTTTCTTTCCTTCTTTCTTTCTGTTATGTTTTCTTTTGTTTTGTCAGTTGTAGGGCTTGAACTCAGGGCCTGGATTCTATCCCTGAGCCCCTTTGCTCAAGGCTAGTACTTTACCACTTGAGTGAGCCACAGCACCACTTCCAGTTTTTGAGTGGTCAATTGGAGAGAAGAGTTTCAGAGGGACTTTTCTACCCAGGCTGGCTTTGAATCAATCCTCAGATCTCAGCCTCCTGAGTAACTAGGATTACAGGTGTCAGCCACCAGCGCCCAGCTTCTCTCACCTTTCTTTAAAAAAAAAAATTAATAAAACTAAAATCAAGGGTAGAAAAACTTGATAGTCCTCAGCAGTTTAATTCTTAGGTGATAAAACCATCCCTCTTACCAGTTCTGAGCTTTGTCCTTTTTTTTGGGGCGGGGGGTGGTCCGGTTGTGGGGCCTGAACTCTGGGCCTGGGCACTGTCCCTCAACTCTTCAGCTCAAGGATACCGCTCTACCACTTGAGCCACAGCGCCACTTCCGGCTTTTTTCTTTTTGCTTATGTGGTGCTGAGGAATCGAACTCAGGGCCTCATGCATGCAAGGCAAGTGCTCTACCATTAAGCCACCTTCCCAGCCCCAGGTTTGTCCTTTTTTAAAATGTATATTCTGTTTTGGCTGTAGTGGGATTTGATTCTCTCACCTTTCTAAAGCCTACCCTTTTCCTCACCACTGAGGCTGGATCTACCTTACAGAACAACTCCGCAGTTGTGGACATGAACTGTGTGGTGGCCTGATTAAGGTGCTAATCTTCCTTCCTTAGGACCAAAGCTCTGGTCTTGGAACTCCTGGCAGCTGTGTGTTTGGTGCGAGGAGGTCATGAAATTATTCTTGCTGCTTTTGACAATTTCAAAGAGGTCAGTCTCCTGCTGGCATGTTTCTATGTAGGAGTAGGGGGGCAAACGGGGAGAAGGCAGGGAGCCAGATAGGTAAGCACCATTTCTTAGGATTTCCAGTGATTTTAACATCTCTGATTGGCTAAGTAGCCTGCTTCCCAGAGCAGGAACAAAAACTAAAGCAAAATCAACTTCAATCCTGTTAGGTCTCATGGCAGGAAGCCTGCCAATTAGCTGGCTAAGAATGAATGTTCTGAGCTATAGTGCAGTGATCCTAATCTAATGGCCATCAGAATTACCAGAGGAGCTTGTTAAAAGTGTAGACCCCTTTAACCCTCTTCTGACCCACGGGAGCCTGGGCATCTGCTCTTTACAAGACTCCCCAGGCAGTCCTCCTGCTGTGAACCCATTGGAGGGACCTAGTTTACATAGGAAAAGGATGTCTCCTGGGCTGTTGATATAACCATTAGTGAGGGGAGAGAGAACTCCTGTGTGGAATTTCCCCAGCTCCCAGACTACCTTTGCAACCACAGTGCTTCAAAACACTGTGGGATTCCTCGACATCAGCCACAGCTGTCTTCCCACCCCTTCCTCTACTCTGGACCTCTTTCCTAGCATCCATTGTTCAATCCAGGAAACAGCTCTTCCTCCTTGAAGCTCAGGGGCTCTGAGGAGCCCTTGGACCCCTCTCAGTAGAGAGCTTTCCTGTACTAGTCCCACCCCTGTGGATCCCTGGGACCTCAGTCTCTTGCTTCAGTCATGGCGGAATTCCTCCTTTTAACTTTTTTTTTTGTCAGTCTTTTTTTTTTTTTTCGGTCATGGAGCTTGAACTCTGGGCCTGGGTGCTGTCCCTGAGCTCTTCAGCCCAAGGCTAACTCTCTACCTCTTGAGCCACAGCACCACTTCTGGTTTTCTGGTGGTTAACTGGAGATAAGAGTCTCATGGGCTTTCCTGCCTAGGCTGGTTTTGAACGGCGATCCTCAGGTCTCAGCCTCCTGAGTACTAGGATTACAGGCATGAGCCACTTGTACCCAGCCCTCCTTTTAACTCAGACACATCCGATCTCCCTGTTTCCCCTCGTAACCTGACCAGAGGCACCTAATACCCAATCCAAGGGCACAGGCTTTACTTGGTTCGGGATGGTAGGAGACCAGATACCCAGGGCCAGATTCCAGGTTCCCAGTTTTCTTTTACAGTGTTCAAAATGGATCATTCCCTAGATAGAGTTGTGGTTAAACTTAGTCGGAACTAGTGCTTTTGTCATAATGCTGCTGGAAGCCATGGTTCAGGGGTTTGGGTTCTGTGTGGAGCAGATCCTTTCCCTGAGAAAGTTTGCTGGTTCAGGTGTGCAAGGAGCTGCATCGATTTGAGAAGCTAATGGAATACTTCCGGAATGAAGACAGCAACATTGACTTCATGGTGAGGAACTAGGCCAGTGCATACCCATCAGAAAGAACTATGAGCTTCTTAAGGTCAGGAACCATTTTGACTGTATTTTGATATTCTGCCCTTTCCCAGGTGGCCTGCATGCAGTTCATCAACATTGTGGTGCACTCAGTGGAAGACATGAACTTCCGGGTCCACTTGCAGTATGAGTTTACCAAGCTGGGGCTAGAGGAGTTCCTGCAGGTGAGCTGGTCGGGGTCCTGATCAAGTAAAGCATTTGGAGATAATCTTAGACCCAGCACGAAGAATGCTTAAAGCCGGGCATTGGTGGCTCACGCCTGTAATCCTAGCTACTCAGGAGGCTGAGATCTGAGGATGGCGGTTCAAAGCCAGCCCGGGCAGGAAAAGTCCATGAGACTCTTATCTCCAATTAGCCACCAGAAAGCTGGAAGTGGCACTGTGGCTCAAGTGGGAGAGTACTTGCCTTGAGCTGAAGAGCTCAGGGACAGTGCCCAGGCCTAGAGTTCAAATTCCATGACTGACCAAAAAAAATTTATTATTATTATTTTTTTTTTACAAGAATTTAGTCCTGGATACTTCTAAAATCTACTAGTCTTCTCTGGGACTCAGGACCTCCTGCAGAGAGCTCTCCAGTCCGGTAACTTCATTGGAACCAGACTCTTAACATGATGCTGATTGTGTGTTCTAGGAAGTGGTAGTGGGAGACGATGAGAATGAAGATTTTCCAGGAGCCCCTTCCATCCTCTGCTAGCTCCCTTAACTACTACTCTCTTTGCTTTTCCCCAGAAGTCAAGGCACACGGAGAGTGAGAAGCTGCAGGTGCAGATTCAGGCATATCTGGACAACGTGTTTGATGTTGGGGGATTGTTAGAAGATGCTGAAACTAAGAATGTAGCCCTGGAGAAGGTGGAAGAGCTGGAGGAGCACGTGTCTCATGTAGGTGGTCTCTTTTGCTGTTCACGCTAGTGTTGAGGGTGGGGGATGGGCATCATTTAAGTTCCAGAAATCCTGAGCTGATCTACTTGTCTCCATATTAAGCCTCAAGGCGGCTTTAGAACCATCAAGGCTCTGGCTTGATTCACTGGACTCCTTACTGGGACACATACATGCAGTGACCTTCATGCTGGGCATTAGGTGACCTCAGGCTGAGGACACCACTACTTGCCTTGTATCTATCCATTTTGGTTTCTTTCTTTTCTTTTTTCTTTTTTGCTGGTACTGGGGCTTGAACTCAGGACCTTTCACTCAGTTGGTTTGCTTGTTCACAGCTGGCACTGGAGGGCTGGGAAGGTGGCTCAGTGGTAGAGCGCTTGCCTTGCATGCCTGAGGCCCTGGGTTCAATTCCTTAGCACCACATAAGAAAAAAGCCAGAAGTGGCACTGTGGCTCAAGTGGTAGAGCACTAGCCTTGAGCTGAAGAGCTGAGGGACAGCGCCCAGGCCCAGAGTTCAGGCCCCACGACTGGGAACCCCCCCCCCCCAAAAAAAAAAAAAAAACAGCTGGCACTGGACACTGAGCCACACCTCAAGTCAGGCTTTTTGTTGGTTAATTGAAGATGGACTCTCTTAGACTTTTCTGCCTACGTTGGCTTCCAAACCACAATCCTCCTGGTCTCAGGCTCTTCAGAAGCTAGCATTGCAAGTGAGCCACGGGTGTTAAGCTCTGTTCCTATTTCATGTATATTAGACCCTGGCCCATGAGTTTCGTAGGGAAGCCGCTTGCCCTTGTAGCATTATGGTGGGGGTGCCCAGGTCCTGACTGGGTGTCAGACTATCCTGGGTGCTCAGGATTTAACATAATCCTGCCTTTTCCATCTTGCAGCTCACAGAAAAGCTTTTGGACCTGGAGAATGAGAACATGATGCGGGTGGCTGAATTGGAGAAGCAGCTGCTGCAGCGAGAGAAAGAACTGGAGAGCATCAAGGTTCAGTAATCTGGGGAAGAGAGGACCTGGGCTCCATGGTCTAGGGCCTTGCTTTTCTTTCCTCAGTTATGGTGGGCTGATGATTTTACCCATATTTTTGTGCCAGTCCTGGGGCTTGAACTTGGGGTCTGGGCACTGTGCCTGAGCGTTTTTAGTCAAGATAGTGCTCTACCACTTGAACCATAGCTCCATTTCTGACTTTTTTGTGGCTAATTGGAGCTAAGTCTCGTGGACTTTCTTGGTCAGAGTTGGCTTTGATCTATAATCCTAAGATCCCGGCCTCCTGAGTTGTTAGGATCACAGGTGTGAACTGCTGCTGCCCCAAAATAATCCCTTTTTTTTTTTTTTTTTTTTTTGTGCCAGTCGTGGGGCTTGAACTCTGGGCCTGGGCGCTGTCCCTGTGCTTTTCAGCTCAAGGCCAGTGCTTTACCACTTGAGCCACAGCACCACTTCCAGTTTTCTAGTGGTTTATTGGAGAGTCTCACGGACTTTCCTGCCCGGGCTGGCTTTGAACAGTGATCCTCAGATCTCAACCTCCTGAGTAGCTAGAATTACAGACATGAGCCACCGGCACCCGGCTAATAATCCCATTTTTTAGCTGAAGAAGGAAGCTGAAAACAGAGTGGGCCAGACAAACTGGGTGAGAATGGATATGGTACCCATAAGCATCCCTGGAGTCTTCAGGCGAGACTGCCTTCTTCATGTACTCCCTCATCCCTGATTACAGAGCAGGATCAGAGTAGCCCATTCTTTCTGGCTTTTTCTTAGGTTCTACCAGGCATCCTAGATTAGAAGGTAGGGGGTTCATCATATTTGTCCCTTTTTTGGTCTCCTTGCCTACCTTGTTACTGGTTATAAAGCCATGCCTCCACCTTTGTTTTCTTCTGGAGGAATATGATTATACTGGCTCTGTTGCTACACACACACACACACACACACACACACACGTGCATACATATGTATTTGGGCACATGTGTACATGTGGATATATTTGTGTGTTTATGCACAGCCCCTGTTAAATACAGAGCTATGAGGGTCTAGAGATGGCTCATACAAGGCCTGTCCATGGGGCTTCCAAATGAATGATATACCATGGCCAAATGAAAAAAAAAAACAGTAGTGAGAAGCAAAAAGTTACGGAGAGAGCAGCAGTGTCAGACTGTCAGTGGTCCAAAGGGAGTGTTTCTCAGGGGGATCCTTTTCCCTGGGGGTTTGAGTGGCCTTAGCGATGAGACTAGACTGGAGCAGGAAGGAAGGACTCATCCAGGTACTAGTGAGGCAGGCCAGCTCTTCTTCTTACCTCTGCTCCCCACATGGAATTGTGCTTTTCTGAATACCTTCATAGATCCCTTGGTCCCTTGGGTAGGAATTCTCATTCCTTGGTAGCAGCAGCTGTTGTGATTCTAAACCCCGCCCCCCCACCCACTTTCCTCAATGGCTGATAGGAGACATACGAGAACACAAACCACCAGGTGCATACCCTTCGGAGGCTCATTAAGGAGAAGGAGGAGGCCTTCCAACGCCGATGCCACTTGGAGCCAAGTGCCCGGGGCTTGGAGTCTGTGGGTGGAGAGGTCCTGGCCAGGATAGGCCCTGCAGAGCTGAGTGAAGGCATACCACCCTCTGACCTGGACCTGCTGGCTTCAGCCCCACTGGCTGAGGAAGCCCTTCCTCTGCCCCCTCCACCAGCTCCACCTTTGCCTCCACCCCCTCCTCCATTACCAGGTAACTAAGACCTCTGAGCTGGAAGGAACAATGTTTTTATGGGAGCCAAATGTGTAGTCAGTAGTGTCTTCCTGGAAGAGTAGCTGGGAGATTGCATCATTTGAGGGCTGGAAGGATAGGAAGTGAGGATGAGAAGGCTGAGAGTGGAAGCAGATATAAAGCAGCACAGGTTACTAGTGGAGGAGTGGCAGGAACAGAACCTGCTTCTAAGATCTTCAAGATGTTGCTCCTAATTCCTCTGAGATCAGTCAAGCAGAGGCTTAACTGAAATGGTCTGAGACTAGCTTGAGCTGTTATTAAGGACTCCTGGGAGTAGCCTGAGCAGATTCCACATAGGGTGGAATATGGACAGGTGGTGAGGGTGGCCTGGGAAGAGAGTCATGACCCTGTGGATCAATGTACCATTCCTTTTTCCTCCAGACAAGTGTCCCCCAGCCCCACCTCTCCCTGGTGCTGCTCCCTCAGTAGTACTGACGGTGGGCCTGTCAGGTGAGTCCCCAGGGTGCTGGGCAGGCTGGTGATACAAGGAAAATGTATCCTTGGGCTCTGCCTTACTGATCATCTTTCTAAACTAGCCATTCGCATTAAGAAACCTATCAAGACCAAGTTCCGGCTACCAGTCTTCAACTGGACAGCACTGAAACCCAATCAGATCAGTGGCACTGTCTTCAGTGAACTTGATGATGAGAAGATCTTGGAGGTGACAGGGTTTAGGGCCTAGAGGGCTGGGGGTTGGAGACTAGGCTGCTCTTTTAGCCAGGTCTCCTGGACTTGGAAAAGCCCTCAACCAGAATGGGTCAGTTCCAATTCTGTCCTGCAGGAGCCAGAGTTGGGCCCATGCTGGGCATGCTGTCAGTGCTCTCATAGTGTGAGACTGAATCATTGTCCTTTCTTACGTACTTCTGCCAGGACCTAGACCTGGACAAGTTTGAAGATTTGTTTAAGACGAAAGCCCAGGGCCCTGCTCTTGACCTCATCTGCTCCAAAAATAAGACAGCACAAAAGGCTGCCAGCAAGGTGACCCTCTTAGAAGCCAACCGTGCCAAGAACCTGGCCATCACCCTACGCAAAGCTGGCCGCTCAGCTGAGGAGATCTGCAGGGCCATCCACACGTGAGGCTCCCTTCCCTGAGGCCCTGGGGCCCCAGACAATCAGCAACCTATTTATCCACTGAAGAGTTTGGCTTTTCCCAGTTTCTAGGGTTCCTGACAGAACTTTCTCACACACTTCAGTCATCCACTGGGCAGAACTTACTGCATCTGTGCTGTGTCAGACACAGAATGAGGAGGTACAGATTCAGCCCAGGCTTTTACCCAGAGAATTAACTGGTGGGAACAGTGCAGTAACACCAAGCAGATATTACCAGGCTGGTAGGATGTAGATAGGAGAGGCAATATGGCTGAGTTTGGTCAGGGTGGAGTAGTCCTTCCAAGAAGAGGTGCTTTCTCAACTGGGACTGAAGGAAGTACACAGGTTAGTGCAGTTCAGGCCCAGAGGAAGGAGCCTGGTACTTTGGATACTAAAAACGAAATGTGATAGGAAGTTCCAGGCAGGGCAGACAGTAGACCGAAGTCATCCTACTTAACCATACGTGCAGAGGGAAGTTATTGAAAGGCTTTTAAACAGAAGCCTGGAACATTTCCCCACGATCATTGCTGTGTCCTCTGCACAGCTTCTCCACCCCTGATTTTTCTAGGGATGAGGGGAATGTGGACAAATGCCAGGTCTAAGGTAGTCCTCTTTTCTACACAGGTTTGACCTGCAGACACTACCAGTGGACTTTGTTGAGTGCCTGATGCGCTTCCTGCCCACAGAGGCTGAGGTGAAGCTGCTTCGACAATATGAGCGTGAGCGGCAGCCTCTGGAAGAGCTTGCAGCAGAGGACCGCTTCATGCTGCTCTTCAGCAAGGTGGAGCGGCTCACCCAGCGAATGGCCGGCATGGCCTTCTTGGGCAACTTTCAGGACAACCTGCAAATGCTCACACCGGTATAGCTCCCACCCAAATCACAGACCCCCACTGTGACCTATCTATCCCATTCCATCCCTGCTGGTCATCTTCCTTGCTAGTCTTTTTTTGGGGGGAGGGGTCAGTCATGGGGCTTGAACTCTGGGCCTAAACTATGTCCCTCAGCTCTTCAGCTCAAGGCTAGCGCTCTACCACTTGAGCTATAGCGCCACTTCCAGTTTTCTGGTGGTTTATTGGAGATAAGAGTTTCACCGACTTTCCTGCCGGGACTGCCTTTGAATCTCGATCCTCAGATCTCAGCCTCCTGAGTAGCTAGGATTACAGGCGTGAGCCACAGGCGCCTGGCTTCCCTGCTAGTCTTTATAGCCACTCCAATTTTACCTCCCTCCCAGCCTGGGTGACTCTGTTCATCTCTTCTTCTAGCAACTGAATGCCATCATCGCAGCCTCAGCTTCAGTCAAGTCCTCACAGAAACTGAAGCAGATGCTGGAGGTAAGGAGAGGAGATAAACAGGGTGCTGTTGGTTCCCACGTACAGGGTAGGGGCCTGGGGTGATATGGAGAAGAGGAAGTAGCCTTGGAGCTTGGTCTGAACTGCTCACCCCTCACATTTTATGGACAGATCATACTTGCACTGGGGAACTACATGAACAGCAGCAAGCGAGGAGCTGTGTATGGCTTCAAGCTCCAAAGTCTAGATCTGGTAAATGGAGGGACAGCATGGGCGGGAAGCTAGGTAAGCAGTGGTAGAGCAGCATGTTCAGCTCTCTGGTCCCCTCCCTCACAGCTCCTGGACACAAAGTCCACTGACCGGAAGATGACACTTCTCCATTTCATCGCCTTGACAGTGAAGGAGAAATACCCAGACCTAGCTAACTTCTGGCATGAGCTACACTTTGTGGAGAAGGCTGCAGCAGGTGAGGGGAGCCTGGCTGGGTGGCCCTGCCCTCTCATCCAGCCTAGGACAATCCCTGGAAGCTATGAGAGGGAATGCTTGGTTCCATTTGTTTCTGGCTTTTGTTATCTTCTTTCTGACAACTTCAAAGCTTTCCGAAGGAGCCACCCAGAGTCCTCCTAGGCCCAGCCCAGCCCTGGGAGTGGGAACAGGAAGGGGAGCAAGGACTTTACTCCCATCCTCCACCAAGTGGTCCAGAGACAGCATTTGTCTTGAACATATGCAATGTGATTCTAAGAACTATAAATGTCCTCCATAGACATAGAGCACTTGTTTCTACCACAGCTGCAAAAGCAGATACAAGCCTAAAACAGCTGCACTGTGAAAACCAGCAGTTCCCCCTTGATTTTGTTCTTTGGGGTCTTGAGCTCATAGCCTCCATTTGTTTCCCCTGCCTCTTAGAACTCAACTGGCTTGGTACATGTCCACATGGGTGTGAGACCCCAAGGGAGCCTGTGTCTGGGGGAGGGCAAGGTTGTGGAAGCCTTGGGCCGGTTTCAGCCAGGCCTCTGGTGACTACAGTGTCCCTGGAGAACGTGCTGCTAGACGTGAAGGAGTTGGGCCGGGGTATGGAGCTAATTCGGCGGGAGTGCAGCCTTCATGACAACAGTGTCCTTCGGAGCTTCCTCAATACCAATGAAGGCAAACTGGACAAGCTCCAGCGTGATGCCAAGACAGCTGAGGTAAACAAAGGATGGAGGGGGTGGGAAGGGCCAGGACCAAGGCACTAGAGCCAGGTAGGCCTCCAGCTCTTGACTGGCTGTATGTAGGAGGAAGACAGTGCTTTAGAGGTGACCATCGTGGCTAGAGATTGAGAGCTTTGGGGAACTTACATTTTTTCTAGTTCAGCAGCTCAGGTGGTTGATTTTCCAGCTTTTGGTTCCAGGCTCTGCTTTCACGTCTCTAGTGTTAGTTGAATTTCTGCCTAGCAGGCTTATCCCTCCGCCCATCCCTTCCTTAGGAGGCCTACAATGCAGTTGTGCGCTACTTTGGTGAGAGTCCCAAGACCACACCTCCTTCTGTCTTTTTCCCAGTATTTGTCAGATTCATTCGTTCTTACAAGGTAAGCTGTAGAGTTTTTAATGAGTTTGGCTAAGACAAAATTTACTGGGGGGAGAGCACTTGGGCTTCAGCTGTGGGCTGTTCTGGGGAGAGAGCAATGGAGGACCAGGAGGGCTGGTGACAGGCCTCTTAACTGTGAACCAGTAGGCAGGGTGGGGGCCCAGGCCCTTCCTGTCATTGTTTGGGGCAGGAAGTGCCCCTCCAGAGTGTGGCCACCTGGGGTTAGCTGGTCCCACTGCCACCTACTCTCCACCCTCAATGTTTTAGCCCCTCCTCTCCCAGCGTGTGTGAACCTCACCCTCCACCCCTGTGGTTCTTAGGAAGCAGAACAAGAGAATGATGCCCGGAAGAAGCAGGAGGAGGTAATGAGGGAGAAGCAGCTGGCTCAGGAAGCCAAGAAGCTGGATGCCAAGGTGGGTGGAACCAAGAGCTGGCCTGGAGAAGGCAGCAAGACAAAGAACTGGGGGCTGAGGAGGAACAGAGCTAGAAAAAAGATGGAAAATTGGGACAGATTCCCAGAGGGCCCGGGGATTGAAGGCCAGAGGGATTGAGAGGGGGATTCCCAGCAGTGCAGAGGCATACTCAAACTGAATCTTGGGACAGGAACCAGTCCCCTGTCAAATTAGTGAGTTCCTTCCCCCTCCTATGTTGGCCCTAGACTCCATCCCAGAGGAACAAGTGGCAACAACAGGAGCTAATTGCAGAGTTGAGGCGGCGCCAGGCTAAGGAGCACCGGCCTGTTTATGAGGGAAAGGACGGTACCATTGAGGACATCATTACAGGTGGGGTCTTGCCCGTCCCAGGGCCTACCCATTGGGCCCAGCTCCCAGAGCCCAACCTAACCCCTCAGGCCTTCCTCCCACTCCCCCATCCCCATGAGGCCTGACGGCTGTGTCTCTCTCCTGGGCCACAGTGCTGAAGAGTGTCCCTTTCACGGCCCGTACTGCCAAGCGGGGCTCACGCTTCTTCTGTGATACAGCCCACCATGATGAATCAAACTGTTAACCCCCAAGCCTGGGGCCCCTGACAGGTACCAGGCACCACAGCTGCCCCCTCTGCATGCCCGCCTTCCTCAACTACAGGAACTCACAGGCAACTCTTGCATGCCTTGGAAGCATCCTGTGTCAGCCTTCTAGCAATGGGAACACCTATTTCTTGCATGCTCCATGCTCTGAGAAGCATGGCTTATTTCCTGCATGTGCCCTTGTGGAAATGATCTCTCTCTCTCTCCCACTAATGCTGTCTCCTGGCTTCTACTAAGACTCAGACTCAAGTGATAGTGAATTGCCAGGCCAGGGAGCTGTGCCAGAGCAGGCAGGACCAGGCCTGTGGTTATGGACTGCTAAAGCTCCATTCCTAGGGTAGGGATCCTTAGGCTTCTCCAAAGAGTTCAGCAGTAGCCGCTGCCAGGGACAGTCAGATATCACTTGAGCTCTGCTTCTTGACATCTAGTTGGCCTGGGGTCTCTTCCTGAGTTTACCTTGTCTCTGTGCCACAGCCTCTTTTCACCCCACCTCATCTTCTGGAAAAACAAAAAGACCTATCCATCTCTCCATCAGGCCAAAGCCTCTCCAAGCTCCTCCTCATCTCCACTGCTTGCTGCTTCCCTGCCCTGCTCAGTCTTCCTGCTCCTTCACAGGCCTCTTGTCTTCCCCACAGGCCTCCGCCACCAGCCTGTTGTTCGCCACCAAGCCAGGAGTGCTGCACCATTCAGTGTACACCCTCGGGCCCCAGGCCCCCACTGAGAGACCCGACCCTCTTGGAAGCAGAAGCACTTCAACTCTTGAGTTCTCCAAGTCTAGACAAGGAATCTGACCTGAAGCAATGGGCCTGGCAAAAGGCTGTGCTGTGCCATTATACACACTTGGTCTCTGGGGTCCTGGCACTTCCTTAGTGCCTCCCATGCTGCACTTTGCCCCATAGTCCTCATTTCCTGGAGGGTCAGTTCTGAGCTGGGAAAAAACCACTTCCAGCATAGTCCCCCAAGCTCCTCTCCCACTAGAGTTCCATGGGATAAGAGAAATGTGTCCCCCCCCCCCCCCCCTTCTTTTCCCCTTTTCTTTGGCCTAGAAGTTCCAGGCTGAGGGAGTTCTGGGGACTCTGCCAGTCTCAGATATCTCTTACCAAAAGCAAGGCTATGCTATGCCTGGGCCCTGCCACACACACTCTGCTATCCTCTTGAGAGAAGGGTAGAGGAGCTATGTCAGGCCCAATGCCCTTCCCCTTGGCCCTTCCAGGCTAGGCAAACACTGTCCTTGTGAGGTAGCTGAAGAGTAGAGGTGCTCTCCTGCACTACAGCAAGGGTGTGCCAACAGCCCATGTCCTGTCTTCAGCTAGGTGGTTTTTGGCAGGGGATAGCACATGGAGCATCTTTACAGACTATTTTACTCAGTTCCCTATCAGCTTCTTCTGAGCCCTTGGAAGGGAATGCGGGGCCATCTCTTTTTGTACATGTACCAATCCCTTCTCTCTTGTACATAAACCCCAGACCTTCCTTCTCAACAAAGGCTTGAAGCTCCATGCTGACTATGTCTCTTCTTTCTGAGCTTGGGAATCTAGGGATGGAAAGCAGATTGGAGGTGAGCTGAGAAACCTGGAGAAAGGAGAACCAGTCTGGGGTGGGCTCCAACCACACAAAGGGATGGAGGCCTATTAAAAACACTAGTGCCATCTGCTGGTCGTGCGTGCGTGTGCATGCATGCGTGTGTGTGTGTGTGTGTGTGCGCGCGTGTGTGTGTGTGTGTGTGTGTGTGTGTGCGTGCGTGTGCGTGCGTGTGTTCGTTCCTGTCCAGTCCCCAGACTGCATAGGTAGTACATGGAGAGGACAAGAGTCACTTGCCATGTTATAAATATTGTTATTTAAAAAACAAAAACAAAACACATACACTGGGTTCCAGGGCTGGAGGAAGCAGTGGTAGAGCCCCAGGGCTGGGGCAGGCAGGAGCAGGCACTGATACTAAAGGGTGAGGACCCTGCCCTCTGCCACTTAGGCTGTGTCCACCAGCCCATCTCTTCCCTGGAGGCCCCTTCTCTCATACACTTTATCTACTGGCATCACCCATCCCACATGGAACAGGCCATTCATGTCTGGCCTGGGGCTCAGGGCAAGGACTGCACTAGTTGTCTGGGAACCGGGGGACCCTTGAACACCAAGAGCAGCCTTGGTAGGTGCCAAAAGTGGTGCGTTGAGGGTGGAGTTACTTTAAGAAAAGTGGACATGGACCAGACTGATGAAAAAAGGAGTCTGAGGGTAGCCTTGGAGCCATTGCCTCATGTAGGCCAGAGGCAGAGAGAAGCCCATCAGGTCACTGGTGGTCATCTAGCTGCTGCAGGAGTGTCCGCCGGCGCCTCTCCAGCTCTCCCTCACTCAGCTCACTTTCTGATGTGTCCCAGCCTGTCTGTTGGAGCAAAGGCACTGCTCACCTGAGCCCCCTAGACAGAGACAGAGTACCACTGGGGCCTTGGGCTGGGCCTCCCATTCACCTTCTCCTTCTTGACTCCGAAGCCTGGGGAGCGGTTAGGGAGTTCTGCCTGCCGGAGCTCCATATCCTTAGCCTGTTCCTGTTCTTTTTCTTCACTCTCTTTGCCAGGCTTCTCCTCGGGCTCTGTCTCACTCTCAGGACTGTTCTGTAAGAGTTCAGAGCCTCCCTCAGCAACTGCAGAGGACTGCTGGAAGGCAGGCAGAGTTCTACAAATTACATGAGCTCCTTCTCTACTTACCGACTTGTGTCTTCTTTTCTTAGTTTTCTTTTTTGGTTTCTTGGCTTTCCGAAGGCCATGCTCTGAAGGTAAAACAATCCCATCAGAAAAAAAGGAGGGCTAGCTCACACATAAAACCCTAGCACTCACGAAGCTGAGATTTGAGCATCACAGTTCAAAGCCAGCCTGGGCAGGACAGTTCGTGAGACTCTTACCTCCAATTAACCACCAGAAAACTGGAAGTGGAGCTGTGGCTCAAAGTGGGGCTCATCTTTTTTTTTTTTTTTTTTTTTTTGCTACAGCCCACTGTCTATTCTTTGCAGTGGCAGGTGCATGGTATGAGGGAGCACTCTGGGGAAGTCTGACTCTGGCTTCCCTTCTTCCACAGCTCAACCTTCCCAACCCACTCTGGCCTTTATGGGGCTGGAGCCTCTGCCTATCAGGATGGTAGTACTCAGGCTACCATGTTCCTAGCAACTGCTTACCTGATCCAAGGAGGTGGGAAGATGGGGATCCCCGTCCTCCGAGGGTAGCACCCCCACTTTCAACTGAATCAAGTGATGATGAAGGCTCAGAGCCTGACTCTGAGGGATTCCGCCGCCTTCGCTTGGGGGGTCGGAGGGATGGTGGGGGCAGCTCCTCCTCTTCTGACTCAGAGCCCTGGGCAGATACGGGTCAGTAAAGAGGTGGTTTGGCCACACATACCCTCACCTGGGAATTGGGGGCAAAGGGTACAGATCCAAAGAAATCTTCGTATCTCCCTCTAAGACATACAGTGTTTATTCAAAGCGATCCAATCTCATCCTACACCCCTCTAGCTGCTGACTCACTGAAGGCGAGTGCGAGCGTTTCCGATGGTGCTTCTTGCCCTTCCTGCTGTGCTTTCGGCCTTTGGTATGGAGGTGCTGGCATTCGGTCTGCTAGAGGGAGAGGGAGAGGTTAGGCCTTCCGCCTACCCAGGGCCCACCCTTCATAGTCCCTCCTTCATTAGCTGGCCTGAGAAAGGAGACCCTAGTGGTGAGAGGCCACTGAAACACTCAAGGGCCCAGGACAGATTAGGAAGACCAACAGCCTGCCTCACCTCCAGCACCTGCAGGAACTCCCGGAAGAGCCGGATCCTCTCCGACTCCAGGGTGATCTGCTCAAAGGCTGAGTCGCACACAAAGCGCTCACGGACCTTGAACGGGGAGAGCACTGCTGATCAGACCAGGCCCTGCCTGGCCTGGCTTGGACACCGCCACGAGCACTGGGCAGGGCTGGGGCAGAGGAAGGAAGGGAACTGGAGCTGTCCCAGGGCTTTGCTGTGACTGGGGTGGGCCCTCAGTGGTGGAGAAGCTCCGCTGCCCTCAGGCTTGAGGGTGATTGGGGCCAAGCTGCGCTCCTGACCTCTTCCCACGCAGTGCCCAGCTCCAGAGCAGGCACGGCCTGCCTCAGCATGCTTCGAAAGGCAGCCTCCCTGCGCCGCATCCTCCGTGCCTCCTCCTTTTCCCGCTCCCTCTCCCGGGCCTCTGCCTTCTCCAGCAGCTGAGGGCAGAAAGGAGCACAGGGTCACCCAGAAAGGTAGATGCCCAGGGCCCACTCAGGTATAACATAAGAGGTAGGAAAGTGGGTGTGGACTTCTGCCACCATTCCTCAAACCCAGGATACAGTGGGGCAGTGAGAAGGAACAGTGAGCCCGCCCCGCCCTACCCAGCCCCTCACACTATTGAAGGTCAGCTTGATGTTGCCTGCGTCCAGCGCAGCAGCCCTCTTGTCAAAGCTTATGACGTGGGCGAAGTCCTCAAAGGCTGTGTTCACCTCCACACAGAAGCCCCGGTCCTGTGGGCACAGCAGTGTGTGAAGCAAGGGGTACCATGGGCAGAGGCCCAAGGCCAATAGGTAGAGTCAGACTACAGGATGCCCAAGAAACTCCTCTGCCCTAAAAAGAGGATCCATAGACTGACACCTGAGAATCCACACTGTCCAAATCCTCATTGTCTGCCTGGGCCCCAAGCTTACCCCAGATATGGCTATTGTGTGGAACCAAAGGGATCAGGCAGTATCTCCAGAGTCTGAGAGTCTCACAATGACTTCTTTCTTCCTTTGGCTACAACTGGAACTTCCTGGTGCTCAAGAAAGCTCCCAAGCATCTCAACATCTAGTCCCTAGCCTCAGGCTTTACTTACTGAATGCTCACTATGCATTAAACCCCCTGCTGAGTGCTTCATTCACATTCTCACTTAATCTCCAAGTTCTTTTAGGTTGTCCTCTCCTAATTTTAGGCAGAAAAATGAGAACACTTCCCCAAAGTCTCTTAGCCAAACCTATGGCCAGATGACATCTACCCAGGTCTTTTTAAGACTGGAACCTGTGCTCTCAAGCACTACATCCACACTGGTTTTGGTTTTTGTTGGTCATGGGGCTTGAATTCTGGGCTTGGGCACTATCTCTCAGCTCTTCAGCTCAAGGGAGCGCTCTACCGCTTGAGCCACAGTGCCACTTCCAGTTTTCTAGTGATTTTTTGGAGATAAGAGTCTCACGTGGACTTTCCTGCCTGGGCTGGCTTTGAACCGCGATCCTCAGATCTCAGCCTCCTGAGTAGCTAGGATTAAAGGCGTGAGCCACCGGCGCCCGGCCACACTGATTATTTAGACCCTAGGTGAAATGGAGGATATTAGGTGTGCACCTTCAAAGCAATATTGAAAACATGTCCCATTCTCTTAAGCATCCTGACCAGACCCCATGCTTTACAACATTGTAGTGAAGTGAAGGCTTAGCAGAGTGGTCGCACTTATTGGCCCAAGTTGACACAAGTGGTAGCATAGCCACTGGCACAGGCCAGCTCCCTTGCTGTCCCTCCACAAAGGTCTGGTTCCTCTGACCTTCCTGCTGATGGCAGGGGCATATTCTTTCTTCTCTTCAAGTCTCTACTCAACCTCCAGCTCCCTTCAAACACATTCCCTTCTTGTAGGGTTTAATCTCACCCTCTTCACTGGCTCCTTGCAAGGAACAGATATCTCACATTGCCTCAAATATTCTTGTTCTTAGCTCCGTAAGCTAAATGCCTATTTCTTTTTTCTTTTTTTTGCCAGTCCTGGGGCTTGAACTCAGAGCCTGGGCACTGTCCCTGAGCTTTTTGCTCAAGGCTAGCACTCTACCACTTAAGCCACAACGCCACTTCCAGCTTTTTCTGTGTATGTGGTACTGAGGAATCAAACCCAAGGCTTCATGCTTGCTAGGCAAGCACTCTACCACTGAGTCACTTTCCCAGCCCCTAAATGCTTTTTTTTTTTTTTTTTTTTGGGTCGGTTGTGGGGCTTGAACTCTGAGCGCTATTCCTGCACTCTTCAGCTCAAGGCCAGTGCTCTACCGTTTGAGCCACAGCGCCACTTCCGGTTTTCTAGTGGTTTATTGGAGATAAGAGTCTCATGGACTTTCCTGCCCAGGCTGGCTTTAGAACCTCAATCCTCAGATCTCAGCCTCCTGAATAGCTAGGATTATAGGCGTGAGCCACCAGCGAGCTGCTTATTTCTTTATAAATTTCAAAATCCCTTAAAATACAGCACAGGGAAAAGGAATAAGCATTTATAGGGAACCTTTTATCTTTGTAAATGCTATTTAATTCCTTGAACCTGGCATAAGGATTTTCCTGCTTAAGAAACTAAGGTTCTGAAGCACTATGTAACTTGTAGTGGTCTCAGAGCCAATGCACAACTAAGAGTTAGATGTGTGCTGCCCCACAGCCAATCCCTTCATGGCCATTGCTCTTCCAAAAGTTATACTTAGTCAAATTCAGACTCCTACTCTGTCCTCATTCATGTGGTCCTAAGCGCCTGTTTCCT